ACTTTGACCTATCTTGATCCTTTTTGAATCTCTGGACTTGATGAGAGGCAAAGACTTATATTAGGTCAAGTCACTTCTGAATTTGAAGATGGTTGCTTGCTAGATGGGTCGTTTAATTAAGGTTTTATTTGTATATTCAATTTATTTTGTTTATCCCTAGTACACATGGTACATGTCATGATAAACATGGTGGGTAGAGGTAAGCGTACTGTAAGTACACCACATTTCTACATATGTGAAAAGCAGTTCGACTTTGCATTTACAAATGTTCCAGAGCCCGTTTGGTTACTTGTACTCGCTGGTGGGGTTGAACCTTTGCAAGAATCGGGGGCCATTGGAGAATTATTTTCTATAAAAAAGTGCCCAATGCGGGAATCGAACCCGGGTCGTAGCGGTCGTTTAAAATATTCAGGTCTTCTAATTATTCTTTGAGAATAGCCTAAGTCAATTGGTAAATACTATTATCAAATTTTATAAGTGTCAAAAAAGTTTAAATCAAGTTTCAAATAGTTTTATACAACTTGTAGAGCCATAGTTTTAAATTTATATTCATTCTGGCTCTCTTCACTAGATCGCCTGATATATTTACAGGTCAATACACATAAAGCCGTTATTAAGACACTTCAGTCTTACATAAGATTGTCCTGGAAGAGAGATTTATATAAAAATTAAAAAATTCTAAAATAAAGTGTAAAGAGAAAATATTTGTATGAATTATAGCTAGGTGAGTATAATAAATAAATAGTATTTTTTAAATGTTTATATATAATCTTGATATAAAAATAAATGATATACCAAAATGTTTTCAATTTGTCAGTCTACGGTCAAATTTTATTGCCTCTATATATATCACTTCCGAACCAATATCACATAGTAAAAGGAAAACCAACAAAAGGAAATATATAGAAAAGAGAGAAACTGACAACTATCAACATGTTTCACAAAGTATATGCGTTGTAATAAAATGGTCAGTTGTAATATATGGTCGTAGGATTATATGATCCATCATAGTTTTTATGGCTATTTGACCGCATACTTTACAATGATTAAATGGAATAAATAAGTTAAACTTCCATAATCGACCTTCTTTTAAAATATTAAATTACCACAGAGTCTCCTTCTTTTCTTTCTAATAGAGATCCATCATTTTATCTGGGGATACAAAATAAATGTGAAACTTTTCCATTTTTTTATCTCAAAGTCTTACATTTTTATTAGAACTAAATTACAAAATTATTGTTTCCCTTTTTTTTCTTCCATTAAAATATTATGTGAGGTTTAGTTTTTGGGGGGATAAAAAATAGCTTTAAAATTCCTTGTTTCTCTTAAATCTACGTATGGTAAAAAATGAAAAAAAAAGTGATGTTTTTATTTTGAAGTTATAGAACTGAATAATAAAAAAAAACTTTTAGTAGTTTTTCACAAATTTACGGGATTTTAGTTTAAATTGAACAGCCTTTTCAATAAGTGATCCCACGTGAGATGGAAAGAATATGTAAAGTTCAGTGATTCATATTTTGCCTTCGGAAGGAAAAATGTGAATGAATAAAAACAAAACTGGATACTTTTGATGGGAAAATTATTCATTCATTAACCTAATTATATACACCTATCCCCCGATTTACACGGTACTTGTTTTACACGTTTTCGCTTTTACACTGTTTTCCAAATAAGTTTTTTTTGTTTTTATCGCACTATACTAAATGCTACTGTGATTGAACACATGCGCTGTGTACACATCTCACGAAGAATCCCGAGCTTATGTGTTGACTACATATTTTAACCTGTCAATGCATTTTAATTTTATTTCTGTGTACATCTATCCCCCGATTTACACGTTTTTCTCAGGAACGTATCTACCATGTAAATCGGGGGATAGGTGTAATAGGTTTAATGAATTTAAAATAATATATAAATATATATATAATAAGTTAGCATCTTAAGGTTGTTTATTCGTCTTTATGTACTACTGTAGAAGGGCAAAAATGCCCCAAAGTTCGCGATTACGTTAATAAATATGAAAAGAAACTCCCTCTTCAGAAACCTATTGCATTATTTAATCAATAATTATTACATTATCAATTCACACAGACACGTGTATATAAAGAGAATACATTTAACCCTCTCTATAAGGTAAAATATTTATCTAAATATATTCTAATATTTTCTTTTACACAGTTCTTGTTTATAAAAAATACTTTTAAAAAGAGGTTAAACAAACACTAGTGGGTTTATTCATCACATGGAAGATATAGAATATAGACTCAACGAAATGAACTTATAATTAAACATATTCTCAGGGGGGGGGGGGGGGTATATGCAACTTAAACGTTATGCAAGTTTGGGCAGAGTGGTTTCCAAGGCAACGAGACCTAATTGGAAGATACCGAGTTCTCCCTGAGGTATGGAAACCAAACTTATATAATTAGCTTATACCTGTTAGCTTTATCGGAATAACCCCGTCTTTGTGGATCTTCAAAAATTTAATAAACACACGTAAATAATATACTAGTGGAGAGTAAGAAATAATTGAAGGATTTCTTAGAATTTGAAGAAAATTGGTTATCTATATATAATGAATACAGAAGGTTTACCTGGAAACTATGTATTTAAAATAAGATCATTGTTTGTTTAAAACTAGCTTTGATTTGTATAAGAAGAGAATGCTCTAAATTTCCAGAGTTATTCACGTGGGGTTATCAGTCCGAACTGTACCATTCAGATAAAAAGGTGTACTTGGTTCTGTGAGAGGAAAAAATAAAATTCCTAAATATTTCGAAGGATTGCTCTCTCTTTTTCAATATATTGTATAATAAACTTTAAATTTCGACTCAAACGAATCATTTAAGATTACAGAATCGGTCAATATAGGGCGCGATTATTTCATCACACACACACACACACACATCTTTTGGAAATATATTATCCTTGAATTTCTTCAATCTGAACATAGAACATAAATAAATTTTACACAATCGATAACAGAAAGCATTACAATAAGAAGAACAGATAAATATCATGACACTTCGCATCAAAATACAAGTTATTTCATAGACAAAATGAATAAAAAATATATAGAGATTATATATTCAACTATTTTTAGGATTTTTTATTGCAAAATTTAAAAACAAGAAATTAATTTGAACTAAATTCTATATTTTTAGAATTTTCTCTGGGTATGTATCGCGTTCTATTTTCATTAGCGTATGTAAATATTTGAATTTCACTTTTTGTTATAATATGTAAGTTTTAACTGAGGTTACCTTCTATGTAAATTATAAAAATAACCTATATATATTATATAATATTTTATCCTGAGGAAGAATTCGGTGTTGTAACTATAGAACAATAAATATACATATCTGTTTTACAACAAAATATTATTGATTAACAATATTATAATTTTATTATGGTACATTAGCGCACAATATGTTATGAAAAATTAAACAATTTCTACTGCTTTTACTCCAATGGAAAAATTGATTGCAGTAAGGGAAGTAGAAATTGTTTACTTTTTAAAATAATCATACGCGTCTATAATAGTTTTGAATATTATAATTTGTTATATATAAATAAATTATGATTGTAAAATATTTTGATACCTTATATGTGAATAATAGATATATAATATTAAAAATACTTGTTTTATATATAAAAAATATTTAATAATATTCAGTTTGTATATTTAAATTAGGCTTCGTGTATAAAGAGGTGTAAAAGGAGAAGAACCATATACAGGCTTAACCATTAATTCGGTATTCTAACAATATATGTAATTAAGTGTGAAAGGAATATCAAAATTTAATATTATCTACCTCTCTGGCGCAAATTAATTATATTTTCTATTACTAAAAAGTTTTAAAATGTTTCAATTTCCTATATAAATTCATTCGAATAATGTATTATTTCTGTTTGAACACATAACGCTGACAACTGTGAAAAGGTAAATTTATGATCAATGTTAATGATATTTTGATATAATATTTTTATAGAAAAAGGTTACCATACAGATGAACTGTAGAATAAAAATGTATAGGAGTCGTCAGATACGAATCTTCAGAATACTCCGCCAATAAATATCCTCATCAAATTGTTAAAACCGCTGGAAGAGTTCACCGTTAATAAGCTACTACAGCCTAATACTTTACAACTTCTATAAGGTTGACCAAAAAGTTCGTGTTTTTCTTATTACTTGGCAAATACTATTATTAAGGCTAATATATAATAAAACATAATAGAATTACTTTATAACGAAATATAAAGATATTATACATAACGGCGAATAATATTGGTATTTCAAATTTCTTGCAAGTGTTTGCGAACTTTTGGGACAACCTTGTATATATTAGTAAACTAGCCGAATGACCCGGGCAACGCCCGGGTTTTATCCGATTAAATCCTTTCATTCAAATACTATTCGTTACAATTATAAATTGGCGCCGTGGATGTCATTCTTGTGAAACGTCCCGCTCCAAACTTTGTGTCTGAGAAACGATATTTTTATAAAGAGATGATCTGGCTTTGTGTCTTCTGCTCGAAATGAATGTTTTTCTGTTAGAATTTTGTTCCTGCATACTAAAAATGAACTGGCTTCACCCGTGGCCTCTGCTTTTTGGAATTTTTCCGGATATAATTTTGTATCTGATAATCAAATATGATACAGCAATATTGTCATCATCATTTTCTGAATAAAAAACAACTTCTTTTTTTCCCAGAAACTGTCAATTTATTTTTCTCGACTAAAAATACGAAAAATATATTTTCCAGATTTTTCTCTATGTCCTGTTAAAACACGTTTTACATGTCCATTAGGTCAGCTGATATTACCTCCCATCTTCACCGCTAGAGGCGCTGCTTGCGAGCGGTAGGGCAAATTTGCAACGCAATTTGCAAATAACTTGTATACTTGTGTACATAGACCATAAATCTGTACATAGACAGGAAAAGCACATATATTTTAATAATATAAATGAGAGAGTTTTAAAAATTGTAAAAAAAAGTGCATCGGCCGGGAATCGAACCCGGGACCGCCCGCGTGGCAGGCGAGCATTCTATCATTGAACCAAAAGAAAACGGCGAGAGAATTGTTGATGTCTATGATACTTGTATATTTTAATTGTCTTCATAATATAAATACATCAAACAAAAATATTCAAAGCTTTAAATATTTTCAAATTCACATTTTTGGTATATGATTTTCAATAGATCATATTTGAATACGGTGAATACCTTCGCAGCTATTGATGAAAAAAAAGAGAGTTGTGGAGGATCAAATGGAAAGAGAAGGTTAGGAAGAATAAGTAGTATTCAAAATATGATTATCATCGGAGGTATTATGAACTTGGATCATCAAAAACAACGCTATTACTTTAGGGAATAAATTGCTTCTTCTTAATACCACATATCGTTATAAACTTTCGAACGTTCTTATCGGTATCCCACAGGTATCCTCTAAGACACAATCGATTATATTTTTTAAAAAATTGAATATGGCTTAGAAATTGAAGTTTTCTGATCAACAAGGAAACGGAAGTACGTGGAACAATTGTAAGAATAAAGCTAGTTTGAAATTGATCATAACAAAACAAACTGAAGTCTGTATCACAAGTGTAACGATTGAGAAAAGCTTCAATTGAAGTTTTATATTAACTAGGTAAATCGAAATTCTTGACAGAAGTGTATCGTAATTATTGTATAATAGTTGTAATATAATAATTGATTTCTAGAAAATATTCAAAGTTAGGCTATGATATTTTTGTAATGACCCAAAAAAACTAAAATAATTTAGACTTATGGATTGTATCGACGAATGAAATATAAAGTATTAAAATTAAATAGTTAGGGAGATGTGACATTAACGATCTCTGAGATCTGATTAAGTAGAAAAACCTATAAAGGAAGACAGTATATCTAATATGAATCTTATAAATTGACGCTACAAATCCTGGACACTTTTATTTTTCCGTTTATCATTACTCTTCACAATTCATCCTTTCATACTTCATCATAAGGTTAGAAATATTCGTTATTTCTCCTTGAAAAATTAAATTTTGATTTTTCGTTGAAAAGAAACACTTGCGATATAATTTTCAAATGTCGTTTTACAATAACAAGTCGCATTATATTATATTATTTATGATGTATTTATTTAGAGATTATTACAAGCAAATTATATCTTAAATGACAATTAACTCTACCTCTATGTGTAAATATAATTTATATTTCTCATCAAAATTATCAGCACTGATAATTATATTATTATTCATATTTACACAAATAAATATATATATAATATTTGCTCACCTTTTCAATATCATAAATATTTAAAATATGTAAATAATAATTTGAAAATAAAAATAGTATTTATCATTAATTTATTAACGTGACTTATTCATAATCAAATCAGACGCGATATTCCCACAAAGAATGCTTACGTCAAGAAACAACATCAAACTTAGATATTATATTGCCTAAACAATTGAATAATTACAAGGTTTGAGTAGAGTTTAAAGAAAAAAAAAAAGGAATTGACACTAAAATCATCCTTGAATTTACAACCAACAAATAAAATAAACACAAATAAATATACCTAGTTCGGCAATTACAGTTTTGCTCGTAACGTGATACTCTTGTTGAAGGACTAAAAATCTAAAATCTTGAAAATAAAAAGTTGAACAAGAAACTTAACCCTGGAAGCTTTATTTATTTTATAATAAATATATATTTAAAATAAATTATTAACGTGTTCTGTCAAAAAACATATGAGTCGCTTATAAAGAGAAATATACTTTTTTTTCACTAATAAAAATTAAAATATTATATAAAACAATAAAAAATTATATATATCAATAACTGAATAAGGCTTTTAAAAAGGTTATAAACCAAGTTGGCAACTACTCTTAGAGTAAATATTGCGTTAAAAGCAAATAGAGATTATTGTGGATCTCAAGAAAAAATAATTAAATGCCAGTCTGCGGGTTTTATTGAAGGATTAGATTAAATTCTTCTCTGGCAAATCTGCTTATTAAAAGTCTAGAAGCCAAGTTACAGATTTTCTCCAATTTTAATTAATTTATAAAAACATCTGTTTCATTATATCTTATTACTTTTGGTTAATTTAAATACACTAATGGAATATAAAAGTATAAGGATTATAAGCAACTAGTAAAATATAATAAAACTAGATTATTACATGGATTAAATGATTTTTCTTCAACGCCATCTGAATGTAACGCTTTCTATTTTCACTATAGATCCATTCACTCTTTTTTTCAATGATTATACTCTTTAATTTACATTGTTGCTTCTAAAGCAACTTTTCATTCATTGTTGATATTTTTATAATTTAAAATTTGCACGATAAGGAGATGCCTTTTTCTTAATTTATGCACCTTATCCCAGTATAATGTTACATTTGTACTATTTTTTTCAAATATATAAATATATTTTAATATTTCCTCATATTTGTTTTCAAAAGAAATTGGTCGCTCTTCAGGTGATTCAATCAAATAAGGCGAATTATTCTTTTTGAATATAAACATATTGAAACGACTATATATATATTAACGAAAAGCAAAAACGCGCCATCTATACATATAAAATGAAAGGATTTAAAAGCACCAATGTTTCTTTTATACACAATACAAACCCCCACTGCCCCTACTGCGATGAAAAAAATATATTGGGAGGGCTTGGTTCATCAGTGGTGAACCCTCCCAACGGTTTCGCCAATTTTGAATGTAATTCTACTGTCCCCTATAAGCTTATGTCCATAGTTTTCTTGAAAAACATTTCTGAGATTCCATCCTTCAGTGCTCCGTATATAAGCAGAATCGTCCAAAAAAGTATTAGAGCTCTGAGAAGCGGTCTGGTGGATTAAATTGGCGAAACCGCTGGGAGGGTTCACCACTGATGACCCAAGCCCTCCCAATATATATTTTTTTCATCGCAGTAGGGACAGTGGAGGTTTGTATTATGTATGAAAGAAAAATTCCTGCTTTTAAATACTTTCATTATATATATATATTAATTGATTAGAAAAATTTCTTAATATGAATAATTTATTGATTGTTTTTAAAATGCGTGATATATAGAGAAGATCGGTGTAGTAACACAGGTAAAAACATCTAACTTGTTCTATGAAGATAACGGTCGTTTCTCCCATCAAAATAAACGTCAAAACTAGACGTCATCTATTGACCTTTGCCGCAAACTAGCGGCCTCAAGTCGGGGACAAAGCCACAACACCAGCTTTGGCAAACTGAGAAATGTCCACATAGAGATCATGGGTTCGAGCTAATGGCCCTCGTCAGTCTAGGGCGGACTTTATTCCATGATATTCACAAGGGAATCAATGGAATCCTCAAAATCTGGCAAAGAGGTGTTTAGCTGGGAAAGTGGCTGGTCTATGGCTAAAATATAGATGGAATTTTTGCCAAACTTCATCTCCTTAGATGAATATCCTCCCCGCAAAATATCCATCTATATCTTAATTGTTAAACTCAACAATGATCAAGGCAAATGTCATCTATCGGTAAAATATCAATATAACGTAGATATTTCTATTTTGTAAATTGATCAATCTCATATTTTATTATTAGTTTTTAACATTTGACATTTATCCATACGCATCCTTTATGCTTCGTGCTACAGGCTCTTGATGACGTAAAGTAAGCTGTATAATAATCGTTTAGTGATCATCTTTACAATAGATGAACGCTCTGAACAACAAAATCTTATCTTTATGTTGAAGTAATAAACATTATTTCATTATTTCAGATTAAAACATAAATATTTAAATAATATATATATTAATATTCATATATAAGTTTATTAATTTCATATATCTTTCCAGTTAGTGAGGTCCTAACCATATGATGTGTTTATCTGTATGATATTTCTTACTTTAAACAATCATACATCATAAACTCTTATGAACAGAACTAAAGGCAGTAGAAAGTCGTTGATGTCGCTGGTTGTCTGGTTTTATTTAAGGAGACAGAGGCAATATTATTCACAATTGGTTATCTCGTGTTTCTTCATAAAGGTCACTGTTTATCTATCTTCCAGAATTATTGGCTAAATATCGGTATACATGCTAAACGGTACAACTTTTTAAATTTTGTACATGAGTTTATCCACGAAACGTAACATAGCAATCCTAGAAAAGATGTTCAGCCTGGCTGCCATCACTATGACGGGCCTAATGTAACTGTTGCGTGGCTCTCCTAAATGTCACGGCCATCTTTTCCGCTATAAATTTCCTCATTCCAACATGATCATATCATATATCGTAAAGATAAAGGCTGCCTGGCCGGCATTCATATATATATGAAAAATATCATATATATAGCACGGGGTTTGTATAATGATCACTAGTATAGCATTTTATATCCCATAATAGACTTCCCAAACCCTAGATACAATTTTATTTCCAATTAAAGTGATCCAAAAGAGGTTGTCATTTGGATTGGTAAAATTGTACTACATTAAGTTTGATAATCACCAAAAATCTTTTAGAATAAAGAACTCTTCTTTGACTATAACATATTCTCAAACCCTAAGCAATAATGTTGATTTAATGATACACTTGATACTCAATATTTTTTTATTATATGTAAATGATCGCTGAGGTATTTGTTCGTTTTATCAGATTAGGCATACATGAGAGGATCTAGTGTAAACTCAATAAGGTGGTAGATGTGATTCCCCCATCCATCTACGGGATAAATTACATCCACCATTAGTTAGGATATATACTGGAGACGCAAATTAATGGCCACTTCATCACTCCGACACCCGATCTTCTTCAACAAGGATTTACTTCTACAATAGCTGAATGTGAACCTATAATGGACATCATCATTATCATCGAAACCTTGATAGAATCAAGTTTAAATCTACTCTCTTGTTAAACTATAAAGGATTATAGCTTGTGGCATCTACAACGGGCGATTTCAAGAAAAAGTAAATCATAAAAATGGTTCGATATAATAAAATCGAAATATTATCACACCGCAAAAATTTATCTTCACATAATACTAATATCAAACGTCCCATACAGCTCTTTATTACTCA